CAAATGGCAGATGTTAAGTGAATCCACTTTGAGAATTGGTGTCTAAAGGCTGCAAACTAAATCTCAGCTCTAACACACCGACTCAGTAGTTAGTCCAAATCGACTTGATAAGGGAATCAGTGAACTAGTTCACACAGAGATTCTGACAAAAAAAATCCAAATGTTTTGAAAATCCTCCCTTTCTTTGTAATTATGTAAAAGTAGGATAATTTAGTTGGAAACATACCTTAGAAAATATGAGTACATTAATATTCAAGAAATTACAATATGAGGTTTGTGCATTTTGAAAATAACTTTTAAACATATCTAAATTAAACATACTTCTCATTAAGTCCATATATCTGTACTGATATATGGTTTTATTGATGTGATATAATATTTTCATCTTAAATGTTGTGTTGTCATCATCTGTAAGCAAGAAACAAATGCTGTCTTTCTAACTGATCTCCATTCAGTGAATGGAGTTACTGAAATTAATGAACTTTTCAATAATATTCTAATCAATAATATTCAAATTAATGTCAGTCTGTAGATAATGACATTACCACAAATGTATCTAATTAAGATTAAGAAATTTAGAAACAAACAATAAATCATACATTTTGACCAATATTTCCCAAACCTCTAAGACTTTCAGAAAGTCAGGTGCTGCTTGAATACATTTGTAATCTGCAATGAAGTTTTTTTTCACAAATCTATTAAAAACAAACATTTAAATGTTTCTGGCCAGAGTTTGCTTAGCAAGGGTTGGGTTGTTATTGAAAACAATCTGACTACAGTAAGGAGCATCAGATGTTGCAATCTTGCTGCTACTATGTTGTCATGAGAGTGTGCAGGTTGCTCTCAGGGATTCAAATAATTCTGCTTTGTATCAAACAGTGCAGATAGTTTACATAGGGTCATACACCAACATGTTATGTGAACCAGATTTTTTTAACAAGCAAAATAAAAATATCCACCTTGAGCAGGATTTTTTCAGAGTTAAACATTTGAGTCAGAGATCGATTGATGTCGTTTTTCTGATCGGCATTTTTGTTGAAGAACTGAAAAATAGGCTGGAGGCGGGAAACAAGCGATAGTTACTGCAGCTGAGCAAAGACTTCAACTTAGGAACATCACTCTACAGTGTAAAAGTTGTTGCTGAAAGTAGAAAAGTGTTTTTTCAGTATTAGTGACTGGTTTAAAATGACGTTAGAGTATGAGAAACGATATGAAGTTGACAGGAAGAACTAGAGGGATGACCACTGCAACAGAGAGAACTTCAGGGGGTAACAGGAAGGCTCAACCCAGAGTTGGTCTGTTCTTATCTTTTTGAGAATTCAGCCTATGTCATGGAGCAGGAATGCTTAGAAGATCCCTAAATTAAGATAGGATTCTACATAAATACTCAGAGACAAATAGTAAAATTCTGTCTTATTGCAAACCTTCACAAAGGCAACTTCTCTCAAATATGCATAGTGTGACACACGTTTGCTCCTTACGTACCAATTTAACCGAATACAAGCTCATGTTCAATAAAATATCCTTATTTTTGTAGTTTAGACATGCAATTTATTTACATATATAAGCTACTTGTTCAGATCCATTGCTCCATGAATGTAAAGGACAGAGATCTCAGATATGTGCCAGTGTTTGTGTCTCACTGTACCATGGGCACGTAGAAAAGCTTCTGCAGTGAAGAGAGGGGCTTGCAGCATGTCCGCTGTCTCCACTATCAGCATGTCCTTCAGCCTCCGCAGGTCCTGAGGCCGCAGGCCCTCATACAACTGAAAAGGAAAAAAAGGCCAGAGACAAGAGAAGAATTACCAAGTTTACAGATAGGAAGGGAAAGGATAGATGCTGAAGGTGGTTAGAAGGTTAAAACAGCAAATTTGACTGCAGCCAAATAAAAACCAAGAGAGTTAGTCTGATAATGGGTGACAAAAGCAGATGACAATGCAGATGAAAGTTCCACGAAAATGCTGATGAAAAGAGAACAGAGCAGTCTCTGTAAATGATTACAGGGACATGACTTAGTCATGTACATTGACACAATAAAAGACAAGATACAGATCACAAACTTTAGCGCAGATTAATTTATGTCAATTTGTCTAGACAAGGCATCTCATACAGAAATATGGCAGCAATTCCTTTTTTTAGTATTGGACGTTTGTCTTAACTAGCAGCAGGGTTCATGGGTGCACTAATGTAACTGAAATAATAGATAATATAAGAAAACTTTTTAAAGAAATAGTAATTTTACACCAGCAACAAACAAAGTGACACAAACTGTGTGGGTTTAGCAAGAGGAAGGTATCCAGTATGTGTTAACTTATAAAAAGAGCTGTGTCTGAGAGAGCAAGAGCAAAAAGCTGATACTTTTTTTTAGTGCCTTGTTATATTCTCAGCACTACAGACAAAGCTACACTAAACAATGGTCAAGGCAATGTTGTAAATCAAATCAGGCAGCGACAAACAAAATGAACCGTTTCTGAGGGTTTTATTCTGTACCTCTCTTCGATCGAGGGCTGCATACTCTGCTTCTATACCCTCCGCCTCAGGGGCCAGAGAGAAGACCATCTGCGACTCCAGGCTCAGGGCCAAATCCTTGTGGTGCTGCATCTCGGCACAGTCACATGGAGTCTCACGGTTTTCGTTCTCCACAAACAGGTCTGCTCCTCTCTGCAGCAGTAACTGAGCAAGCGACAAGAAAAGAAAAAAAATGGCTTGAATTATAGGAGATGACTGAAAACACTTAAACCACAACAAGTGATGCAAATTGTTATCACTTCACACGTCTTACACAGCATCTGTGGGAAGCTCTGCGTCTGCACTAGAACTCCTAAAACTGGGCAATCAATTCAGTTTAGTCAGGAAATTGGGATTGTTGGTTATTTGGGATCTTGACCAATCAACTGCAATCCAATCACATGTAAAATTAAATGCAATAGTATTATTTTCAGAAGGCTTTATATTACACCCTATTTTCATATATTATTCTTCCCAAGGGCCAGACTTTGGCCCTTGAAATGGTTGTATTCAGCTCCTGATAAGTCAAGAAAGGTCCAAATTTGGCCAACAAAGCAGAAAACAATTGATGACCAAAAAAAAATAAATTGTCTTGGATCTTTAACAATATATAAATTTAATAAAAATTGTGTTTATTGTCGAGCAAGTAAAACAAAAAAAAAGAAAAGAGGGGAAAAAAAATCACAATAAATACATTTTTGCATTTTTAATGTAATGAACTTTGTGGAACTTTTTAAATTTTCCAGTTTTGGCCCCCAGTGCAAAACGTTTGAACACCAGTAGATGACAGAAAGTTACTTTAACTCAAAGCCCATCCCAAATGTCCCCATGACATATAAATTTAGGTATGCAAAAAGCTTCTGGGATTGTAAGTGGTGAAATGATCAGCACTTATAACACAAACAGATCTTTTGTGATTAAGGTTAGATTAATTAAGCACCAAAGGTTTTTGGTGATTCTACAAAACAATCATACGTATGAAATAAATGCAGTTTTCCAAAGTGCCAGTACGTAGCACAGTTACATTCCCTCGAGTTTCCAGCACAATGTAGATAAGGAAAATGACAACATCCTAAGAGAAGCGCAATGCAGCTTTGCTTATCTGGTAGTTCTTTGCTTCTCGCTGATCATTTTTGGCACTAAATTCTGTGGTAAATAACGTGGTTCAGCAGTCATTCTATCAGTATGTGTTTCTTTGAGATTCCAGGCACACCTCCACATATGAGGAATGTTTTCTTTCTCTCCTCCTTTCTGCAGAACGAGTGCAGTCTCGCAACAACTCAAAGTCAAATCCGACACTTGGTGAGTGCTTTGTTTTAGTGGGAACTACAACTGGCATCGAGTCACGTAGTGCAATGTTTAACGTTAAGTCTGTCTGATTGATTTGAATTCAACTCTGTCAAGATTTTGGCCTTTGTCTTGTGAATACATATGTGATAAAACCAGAATATTACTAATTCAACCCTCCGTGTGCTGCTCTACCGCTGCATAACAAAAATAAGAACAGACGACTGCAACTTCACAACAGATGTCATCATTACAGCCCATCCAAGAGGTAGAACAAGCGGTAGAGTACTGTCCTGAAAGAAAAACACCACTCTCTTGAGTGCTGCACATATCTCCCCTGTACCACTCCTTCAGGGCAGCATCTTCGAGATACTGACAGCAGATTTGGGAGCTGATTTTCAGTCCTTTTTAGACCTAAAAATGCCCAACAAGCTCTCTCTTAATGAAAACTGCCATCTTCCAACCCAGCTGGCACCTGACTTAAAGTGGTGCCCTGCATCCATTAGCGATCCAGCTGCAGGGTTCATCTATGTGCTCCATTAAGAGTCACTCTCACTTCATCTAGTCAGAATATGTCTTTTTAAAAATTCTGCCTCCTGGTGCTCCTCTGTAAAATCTTTTTTGGTTCAGCTCAGTGGTAGTTGTGCTCAAGTCTGCTCTACTTAAGTAATTGCCAATTGCTTCTAAATCTAAATACCATAGTTGCTCCAGAATTTTACACCAAAGTAAAGTTACTAGTATGATTTATTTTTGTATTACTATATGATTTAAAAAAAAAAAAAAAGATGCCCTACTTTTCCTTCAGGCCCAGTGTTTTAAGAATTTCGTACTGATTCTGTTTCTATCCCAACAGTAAAGGCCTGTCACAGCTGTTATGGGGCTACAATTCAGACTTACACCATATGGGTAAGTAATTTTAGTATCCAAATAAACTAAAATATTGTGGCGTAAACGCACATGTGCTACTATATGCTATATACAATACAATATTCAGCTGCAATATAATTTTACAAGTACAAGTCATTCTACACGTCATTCAGATTAATTAGAAAGTGCAGTGTGTTTTTTTTATGATAAACAATAAGCTGTGCAGACATGAATAAAATGTATGTGTGCACTTGTTGTGTACAAAGAGCTGAAGGGAACTGTAGAGATAGCTTTTTTTTTTCCTTCTTTCTTGGAAGACAAATCAAAGTTACTTTTATGATGAGCAACATCAGTTAACACGATGCAATTTAACACTCAGCTCAGGTTTTTAAATTATGGTTATAGCTTGGAATATGTTGAAGACAGTACGTTTTTAAAACCTCACCTCAACTGAGGTCCTCATGCCTGAGGCGGCTGCATAGTGCAGGCAGGTGTTTTTCTTGTTGTCAGTGGCATTGATTTCAGCGCTCTCATACTCTCCATGGTCCAGCTTCGCCCCGGTCCAAGACAAGATGATCCGGAGGCATTCCGTCCGACGTTGTTCGTCCTCGTAGGGCCGCGAGATCCGTGGCTGCAGCGCACCCTCTGAGGTCAGGATCTGAGGCCCCATGCAAAGGAGGTGCAGAGATGTCTCATTGTGCACGTTGCGCTTGTTAGGATTGCCATCTTTGTCTATGAGAAACGACCTAGAAGATAAAGGGAAATATGAACAAAGAACGTCAGTGGCTTAGCTCTGGTTTGGTATTTGGTCAATAAGCGCAGGGTTTCCTCCACATGTAATCGATCGTGGCGCACCGCCACAGCAAAACAAAAGCTGCCACACCCAGAATTAAATTGTTTTTTTTATGTAAATATCATGAAACTTTAAAGTTTACTTTATTTTGAAAAACCAACACCTACAGACACTGAAGTAAGGGGAGACAAAAGTCAAAAGAAATGTACCTAAGGAAGGTAGAACTGAATGCATTTTCAGTTCAAGTCGTTCAGATGTTTAATTCATATCTCAACGACAGTAACGTAGTTAATTAATACAATCTGGCCTTTATGCGTAATGTTTCAGATACACTTTGAAAAGGCTTTATGGCTTAATGTCTGGTAATTTGTTCCATTGAGACTCATTTCTCATCCAGAAATAGTGAGGAAAGCATTGAGGTTAGATGGAGATGCTCAGGGATCTTTATTGGGATGCAGTTTCCTCAAGTTTTGAGAAATATAGAAATGATGAGTTCCCATAAAACACGGTCTTGGAGCTCTTTTTTCAATAAATGAAGAAAAATACAATGTTCCGCCAGGCTGCAAATTATGGTGTTAAGTTACTAGAGGACAGTTGTAATTTCAGTTGTACAGTGTGAATATAGTGAATAAGTGTTTTTCAGAAAACATTCAGTCTGAAATGCCCACAACTGAAACCATGTTGTTGAAAAAAAATCCTGGAGGAATCCCTGAAACCATTTGCAATTCTCAATACCCATTATCATACTCTTATTATCTAAGCCTCTCTATCTAAAACTTTTTTTGACAGCTTAGTTCACTGGTAGTAGTTCTAGATCAAGCTCTTTAAAAGTTGATGATGTGCTTGACTTCACAGAAAAATCTACTTTGATTACAAAAACATCTTTTGAAAACTATAAATGAAATTGCTTTTAGTTTAAATTAGTTTATATGGAAACTACAAAACTAAACAAATTTACAACCCTCCAATAATTTTAGTCAGGTAAAAATGCCACACAGTCAGGGCAATTTAGTTACAGAATAAAACTAATGGTCTCAGTGAGTCAACAACAAGTGAATACAAGGCTGTTAGCTTATAAGATGGAGAAGCTCTTGGAATCCAAACCTATTCCAACACAGCATGTTGCATTCCTGAGAACAGATGGCTGTACGGCAGGACAGATGGGAAAGGGACGTATAGAGACAAAACACCAACACTTTTCTCTTATAATACATTCATTTTGCACACATAATGATATGCCAGACAGCTATTCAAATAAAACAAAGGCAATTATGTCTTCATCAATCAATCCTCGCTGACTTCACCTAGTGAAAAAAAAAAAAACAAGACTGGAAATTTAAATGAACTCTGTGGGAAAAAAAACAACTTTTCATTACAATTCAACTTTTATTTGAGTTCTGACCTGAGTAGGCACATCATGGCGTGCCGGGCAGCGTAGTGCAGTGGAGTGTTGTGCTGGTAGGACTCTCCGTATGTGGCGTTGGGATCCAGAGCCTCCTTGAACTGTGGGTTGCTCTCGTAGAGCTGGCAGGCTAGCAGCTCGTCCCCGTTGATGAGAGCCTTACGGAACTTGGTCGCAGTGTTCCCCATGTCTTCGCCAGCTGTGGGTTCAAGCTCTCACCGAAGCACAGCCGCCTTTTAACTCTTCCTCAAGCTGTTCAAGTCAAATAAGCCAGCATGTTGCAAGTTCAGCATGCCCTAAAGGAGAGAACAGAAAATACTGTTGAATCCTATTGAGTCCAACAAGACCTTAATAGCTCAAAAATTACCATAAGCATACATCCTCACTGTTGCTCAAGCTACTCTGCGACCAATGCCGGTGTCAGCATCACCAGTACACTGAAATTCTGTTGATTTTTTTGCACCCCCCCCCCTTGTAGAACTGAACATAGTGAGCACAAAGCTCACACAGAGCGAAGGACAAGACTTCCTTTGGCAGCACCAGGAACTTCCGCCTCCTTGTGCCAACGCTGCCCCTCCCACAGAGGCCAGAACTCATAATAAAGCCCCATAGCTCCACATGGGGAATGACATGCGGCAAGTCAGCATTCTGCTTCCACCAGAGCACCATATGGTCATGACAGTTTGGGCACCGAGAGGCTGATATGTACACGGCATCTACCTGATGCACAAATATGCAGAGAATTGCATCATGGGTACAAGACGCATGTGCTATACATGCTTCTCCACATACAGAAAATACCATCGCCAGAAACTAGTGTTATACTGTGTGATTCCTTGTCACAACGTTTTGAATCTTTTTACTGTCAGATTACAGCCAGATTATAACCACATACTTTAGTAGATTTTATGTGACAAATCAACACAAACTAGTGCGTAAATGTCATTTAGAAGGACAATAACATATGTTCTTTAAGTATTTTTTTTTAATTTTGTATATTCAGTCCCATTTGCATCAATAACCCAAAATTTAAAAAGAAATTGCAATCAACTGTCCTCTGAAGTTACCGACGTAAATAAAGGAAAACAGAGTCCACCAATGTGAAATTCGATTTCAGATGCATTGACATGAGAAACGGCAAATCACCAATTTCTTTCCCTCCCCCACCACCAAGCAAATACAAACAGGATAAGTGTGGCTCCCCGGGGTCACAGAACTTGAACTGCAGTTTCATTTGTCTACACTTCTCATTGCTTTGGTGCCTTGTTATCAGCAGGCAGAATGCTGGCTGGAAAGGCTCGGAAATTTGTTCTGATAGAGCAAATAGAGAACTCGCGTGGAAATTACGGATGCCAGGAATGTTCATGTAAACTCTGTCCAGCATATTTCTGTCTTTGGTTGGGATGGGAGCTAAGTGGAGTTTAGGGAAAACATTTGAGATAAGTGTAAACACACACACAGAAAAAGATAAAAAAATCTCCATCAACAATAAAAATAACACTCAGTTGTTTGTCATGTGACTACTGATGACCTCACACAAGTCATGCTGCGAGTCACTCAGTTATCTGGTTACAATCTTGTGTTTTGTATTTAGGCAACAGAGGGAAAGGAGACAAGGCAAAGAAATGAGTGCATCTGCTTCACCAGTTACCTTCTTTACAGACAGAAAAACACTCCAGCCTGTGACTCAATGATCTGATTAACAAAATCTTCAGTGAGACTAACTGCTTGAATTTCAAAAGCTAATATGCACACATGGCACAAAAGGGAGTATCAGTTGGGAACTGGATTTTCAACGGAGGCATATCGCCTGTTTATTTCAGCTGCCACAATGGAGATTTAGATATCAACAGGTAACAGGAAGCTGAAGGTGCAAGAGTAAAGTTGTTCGGCTTTTTCTGTCGGAAGAGTCAATTTTTGTGTTTCATGACACATGCTGGACTGAGAAATGTTTAGGAAATATCACATTTAAGATAACGATGTACTGACTTGTACACACAGCCTGCTATTCAGAGTTTGCAATATTAACGTCGCTAAAATAAGACGTAAAAGACAGTTTAAGGACTGGGTACGTCACATTTTTCAGTGATAGGATCTCAGAAACGACCTATTAAGGGGATTGAATATGTTTATATCAGTAACAGTTGATAATCATTTAAATTGATCATAATGTGTTGTTTTATTGACTTTTTGCATCGTTCCAAACTGCATTTTTTTTTTTTTTTGCAACCAACACAACTTTGGTATGTTTTTAATCAGCCCTCTTACTGGAGTATTGGAACAAGACTTATGGGGCATGGCCCAGGTGACGGCTGGTTTGGAAAATCATGCCTATTCTGTTAATTTGCCCTCACTGGGACTCAAGTGGCATCCATCCACCACTAGCTCTCACTGAGCCTCCTGTTAAGCTGTATTTGTGGATGTGCAATACCCTGTAGGATTTTATTGTCTCTGGAGGTCAGAGCTTATCAAACTTTTAGGAAATCAGCAACAAAATCTCTGAGTGTTTAATTTCCATTACACACTTTAACTATGAATATAACTGTAACAGATTAGGTCACCTGTTTACACCAACGAAGTATGAACACGCAAAAGTAATGTGCTTACAATTGAGGACAAAAGTATGAATTGTCTAAACAGTGCTGCTGCTCTGGAGCACGTTAAGTGTCAAACGTGTCATGTGGGGACGGAGATCACACACGATCACAAGACAAAACAGTCACTCTGCAGAAACAACACGTCGAGGAGAGACAGACTTGATCATTGCATGAACAAAGAAACACACTTGAAGAGTAACTGTCCAGATGTATTACTAATTAATCCGTCTGACAATAGTTAACGACACTCCCCCAAAACAGCGCCAACCAGCCACATCTAACAGCAACTATCTAAACAGCTCGCTTTCATTACAGACATTAAATGCCAATTTGTCTGCTGAGCTTCAACTTCTCCCAGAACTCTTGATGTGGGCCTTGTACCCTCTCGTGTCGTGTGGTGTTTACCATTTTCGCTAGCTCAAACTGTCAGCGTGTTATGTTGTCATAATGAAAAACCCTCGATATTCGCCCTGTTGTGGTTACATTTCTGGTCAATAAAGACATTCGCCACTTACTGACCTTAGTCTAGTTTAGCTGCAGATCACTCCGATTGTTGCCACCACTGCTATTCATGAGAAAACACAACGAGTATCGTTAGCAATGTGGTATTCAAAACAAAAAAACCCCGTGACGCTAGCTTCTGCGTGGACGAACGTCAGTGCACGCGCTAGCTGGGAAGCTAAGGCGCTACCACCAATGCTAGCCAACTTGACGCTAACTAGAACAGTTGATAAACTCAGTAAACAGAGTGTGACAAGTACTGCGACTTACACAGATGGTACTTCTCCCTACTGGAGACCTGACTTCGTGGAGTAGCTGCAGGTCACAACCGCCCAAAGGAAGGTTCTTCTCTAACGCAATCTTTGTGTAGAAACGCCGCTCAGAGGAGAAATGTAGCCCATGCCAAGTCCCCGTTCATTTTACTGGCTGACCATCGGGTTGCCAGGTTTCAGGATAACCCGGAAACAGGCACAGAGAAGATGTATTTGAGAAGTTATGTATACGTCAAAGACTGTTACAACTGACTTTTATATAAGCATTTAATGTCATTTTGGTTCTATGGATAAGACTTAAACACATTGGAACTCTTGGTCCGTGCCAGATAATATGTTTTTTTTTTTTCTATTTTACCTAATTTGAAAGCAAAAGCAACTAAATAAGTATGGTCCAAACATTTTGATATGGGGGGGCCAAAAACGTAAAGTTGAAAACCCACCACCTCCCGTGGGATTTTGTGCTTTTCTTTTATATATATATGAGCAGTCCACTTCTTTAACAATAATGGCTCTTGCAGGTTTGCAAGATTACACAAAAATCACCTAACTATATTTTTTAGATCATCTTTTGTAGATGGTTTGCACGTGTCTGTGTGTCTTTTCAGCAAAAAGAGACGGTAACACTTTATTTGAAGGGGTGTACATAAGACTGAAATGACACATGACATAACACCTGTCATGAACATAAAGAAGTCTTTATGAATGTTTATGACTGTTGTCATGAAATGTCATTCAGTAAATAATGACACTTTTAATGCAAAGTTGCTCTAAAAGTTGCATTGAAAGTCCATTAAAAATGCCAACTTTACATTAAATTATCATAATTTACAAAATCATGCAAAGTTGGCACTTTTAATGTACTTTTAACAATTTGTTTTGACTTGGGCAGTGATTTTTACTAAAATGCGGACTTGGGCAAAACAAGTCTGCATTTTAGTAAAAATCACTGGGTGTTTTTTGTCTTATTTTACTATTGAAAAAAATTGAATTCAAAGCAAAAACTTTGATAAATACTTCGTGTTCCGAGGGCCACAAATGGTCCCTGGGCTGCACTTTGGAGACCCTGAACTGAATCATGGAATATACATTTCAATGCACTGTCAATATACCATCACATTTCATGCACATCCACTGCTCTTTTTCCTTTCATCCTGTTATAACTGTGGAAATGTGTGGTGCTAAATTGCTTACATGCCTATAACTTTGAATCAGCAAAGGAAGCAGTGTGGAAGATGGCATTTAATTCAAGAAAGTGAAATCAGTATCTCCATGTAATTCGACAGCGGATAGAGCTATCATCTCTGACCGCTGTTGGTTACGTTCCTTCTTAACCCCGTTTTTCCTTCCACTCAACTTTTCAAAGACATGCCTGGAAGCAGTACAATGTGAGCAGTCCACTTCTTTAATCGTAACAATTTATGACTTACCCACACCTGTTGCAGGTGTCAGAAAACAAAAATTTTTGAGGAATATTTGTCATTATTATTATTGTTTTTTGATAGGTGGGGTCTATTATCAGAATTAACAAAAGTATAGTGCTTGAAATGTATAACTTTGTGTGCAGTAAATATGTGCTATTCCACTTATTGAACTGAGTTACTATAATAAGTTAAATCTTCCATAATATAGTTATTTATTTATGTCTATATATGATAAGTGTATCACTTCATATGTTTATCAATCCTCTACACTACTGAATAAAGAGCAAAAAATCATAATCTCTGGCTTTACACCAAAGATCATTGTGGTTAGATTTAACAAAACTCTAACCAGGATCTTTGTCTGTTATGACTGCAGCACACAATCAGCAACCTCTGTTGTTGATAATAAATTAACAAATAAATAAATAAATAAATAAATAAATAAATAAATAAATAAATAAATAAATAAATAAATAAATAAGTCCAACATACTGAATATGTAGGGTGAAGTCTACATATTCAGACCCTTTTTTTATATATATATTTAGAGGAGATTCACTTTTAAAAAAATAGATTAGATTCACAATATCGTAGCAGACAGTTTTGGTTTAGGAAGGAAAATATCCAATAAATGTTGGACTTGCATGATTAACGTAGCGGCCCATGTAATGACAAAATTACGCCACTAGAGTGCGACGCAGTCCACAAGACTATCAACCCCGGTTCGTCTGATGAAGTGCAGCTGACCAATCGCAATGCCTCGCGGGCTTCATATACCTGTAAACTTATGGGCTTCATTCATTCTTGAATAGAAATGCGAAATGCACACATTAACCCTTGATAGAGCAAGGAAATAACCTCGGATATAAACAGCTCTCCTATACACAAGTTTAATGCACAGCAGAACACAAATGCCTTTTATTATCAAATATCCGAACTTTGAAGGAATATATAGCATAATATTCTCACATTTTACCAGCGCACACATTTCATATAAACAGACCTTCAATAAATAATCTGAAAACACATAATCTGACTGCAAAGGTTGATGCTATAATGTATGCAACGAACATTTCTTTCTTTCTCTCTCTATTTTTTTTTTTTTTTTTAGAGAAAATGGTTACATTAATCACATGCTTTAGTACAAAATTCCAAATGCACAAACTTTGTTGGGGAATTTGAAAATACTTAGTCCAGGAATAAGTCAGGCCACTAAAAGATTGAATGACTTCATTTCTGGATGATAAAGCTTATTTGTGTAGTCTGGTAAATTGCCCTACATGTGCTTGATCATTTTATTTAAATGACAAAGGAAATTAAATGTTACAGCCAAAACAAGATCAACAAAACAAAAACAAAAAAAATAAATAAGGAAAATGTTAACTCCTTATTACTGTGGCAGATGAAAAACCAAGCAAAGTGAGGCCCCTTGTTTTTAAAGTTTGACAGGAAAAGAAATATGAATTTAGGGGTTTGTGTAAAAAGGATAGTAAGACATGCTTTTTGTTGGTGGGGTCTCTTTGCTGTAGGGGCTACTGATGGTAGCAGCAGCCAACTCTTCACACTTGCCGTTTGCAGGTGAGTCTTCTGAGCTTGGGCCGTTAAGAGACAGACGCCTTCGCTTGCAGGCGATGGAAAATGAGTCAGCCTTGCTTGGTGAGAGGGCTGATGACTGAGTCTCTGTCCAGGAGCTGATCAGAGCTTCACTACCAGTCACCTCTTCTTGTACCTGCGGTTTAACCTTTACCGACTCTTCTGGGAAACCGGCAGTAGGGCTGGGCCGGGGTGACCATGGCAGACTTGGAGGGACTTTTCTTTGGTAGGCTGCTCTGGACCCCCACCCTGCTGACATCGTGGTGAAAGGAGAGTCTGGGTAGTAGCTGAGTGCATGGGTGGTCTGCATGGATAGCGATTTGATGCCATAAGGAAGGAGGGAGCTCGAGTACTCCCCCTCATACGGCGTCAAGTCGAGTTTGCTGCTGGAGGCGCTGCTGTTCCCCCCCTGCTGCATAGAGGTGACAAACCACCTCTGCGACGCACAGTCTTCTGTCTGAGGTGAGAGGAGGCTGCTGGTCTGCGGCACCGCTCTCTCGCAGTTATAGAAGCGGTTCTGGGGGAGGTTGTTGACGAACTGGTCCTGGAAGAGGGGCTGCATGGTGTAGCGGGTGCCGGGCACAATCTGGTGGGCACGGGGAGAGTCGGTCGGAGACGGGGTGAGGCGGTCATTCTCCGGAGCTGTGTACATTCTGGACAGAAATAATGATGAATTCAATATAATGTGTGTGTGCATGTGTGTGTGAGAGGGGGAGGGGGGGCATGCTTGCAATATGTGTTGCCAGATGCAATTATGTGACATGAATGCGATGTAAAAAATACATTTAAAAAAATACTCACGAATCATAGTTATCTCTAAAACCTTTGGCAAATGGATTGTGATCAATTTTCAACTGTGTGATCTAAAAAAAGAAGAAAAGCAAAAGAATTAGATGCAGGCATTCAGAATAAAAACAAAGGTCATATTCTCTTTATATTTTTTGGACAACATAAATGTCAAACATATACCCATAATGGTTAGATTTAGGAAAGTATGGGACCCTCAACAGAATTGAAGCAGGGACATTCCAACAACAGCCTTTATGTTCAAATGTTATTCATCATTACATCTAAAATGATAATGTTTGCAACTGGAGCAAAACATCAGCCAAATATCACATTGACTGACTTTACAATCAGTTGCATCTTTGCATAGTTTAAATATCCAAAGCCCATAAGATAGAGTGTCTAGGTTTAAGATATCTTTTTTAGCATTAACAGAAATTCAGTTGAGTTTTCTAGAGCTCAGAGAAGAAATTATCTAACAAACTATATCTTTCCTCTCTAGTTGGTTCTTTCAGAGGAACAAGGATAATTTGAAGGGGGGCACAATATTTTCTTCCCAGTAATTGTTCAGTCGAAAAGTTATTTTCTAGTTCTAAAAAGAAAATCTAATCACTAAAATCTTTTAATTGAATATTTTACATAGTAAGAATTAGACATTTTGCTTTACAAATATGTATACACATAAGAGCACTAAATCTAAAGTACCTAGTTTGCTTTTGCCTTAGAATAATAAATTACACACTCATGAAGTCCAATGAACCAAAAATCCTAAATTGCTAAATTATTAAATAAGTCATATGTGCTATATTCCCTCTTTACTAAGTGAAGGAAAAGAACAGTCCAGTTGGATAATAAAATGACTTGTGTCCATATACTCACATCAGTGTTCTGGTAGGCAGTGACTGCTATGAACTGGGTTTCTGGAAAAGTGAAACACTGAGTCTTTACGTCACTGTTGATGTCCTCCACTCCATCTTCCGTCACTTCCACAATGTGCAGCCGGGGCTGGTATTTGTGAAGCGACTGGAGCACAATCATCTGTTTGTAGAACAAAAATGAAAATTTAAACACGTAAAAAACGAATCGATTTTTAAAAAAAAGTACAGTCCATTTGCTACCAAGACTCGTGAATTTATGCGCTGTTATAATTTGATGACTTTAATTGAGTATTGCTTTTTGTGTTTGCCCAAAATCTGCACAAAAACATATGCTAAACTCTATAGTCAAATGTTTTCTACTAATAACACATTACTTTCTATTCAAATCATTTTTGTCGATGAATAACAAAAAACAAGTTACACACTTGGAACATTTAAAACAAACATTTCGTGCAGGATAATTTCATATGAATTATTTAGACATATTTCAT